TTCACCCATGTGAGCGTAGACAAAATAATAATAATCATCAGATCCCTCTTGTATTAGTCTCCTCCTTACCCTGTGCACACAGAGAAATGCGATGGTTGTTTATTTAGGGGGCTTCATTTGAAAGGCAAGGCTGAAAAAAATCGAGGATAATGCTGTTTTTGATCTTCGTATAAGTGGGACTGTCTGAATCACTGGATGAATATTTCATTAACGTGTAGGACGGGGTAGGGAAGGAAGGACGGGATCGGTTTTTCTTGGGAAGAGGAGTCCTTTGAAGCCTAATTCTGATGCAAGAGCTGGTTCTCCCTTGGACTAAGCCAACTGGGCTCCTAAATCCAGCCTAAAACCGTGTAGCCGATGGCAAAGGAGGCCCCCAGCAGGCAGCCTTTTCCCAGGCCCAGCAGCATTGATTGACTCCGTCCTGCCACCTCGCCACCATTTTTCTACTGTGACTCTGGTGCTGATTTGGGGCATTCTTTCCTGAGCTGCTGCTCTTCGCCCCAAATGCGGGTACAAAAACCTTAGAAGGCAGGGAGAGGCTGCAGTTGCTAGGCTGTAAGTAAACTCCTGTGCTTTAAAATTAAGTATTGTGGGGAGGGGGGATAGGAGGGATTAGAAGTAATGCCAGTGTGAGGTGTTTTTCTCTGCACTTTGGAGAGGCTTCCTTCAAGCAAGCAGCTTTTAACGTCAAACAGGGTTTATTTCTGCCCTAATCATGGGCTGCATAGGGACCTCTAAACCCTTAAATGCGGGGAACTTTAAGCTGCCTGGGCAACGCTGGGAGTTGAAGTCTGCATATTTTAAAGTGGCCCCAGTTGAACGGTCCTTCTAGGTCAGGGGTCTGCAGACTTGGCAATTTAAGACTTGCAGACTTCAACTCCCAGAATTCTTCAGCCAACTGTTCTAGGTAGGACCCCTGTCCGAGGAAGACAAAATGTATGTTGTGGAGCACATGGTCAGCATGCCAAAGCTACCTGCCGGCCACTCCACCAGACTTTCTTATGGAAATGACCCCCTCCCCAAATTCAAGCAAGTGTTGGGCTCTCTTTCACCTTAAAGCAGTGTTTCTCAACCTCCGTAACCTTAAGACGGGTGGGCTTCAACCCCCCGCTGGCTGAGGAATTCTGGCAGTCAAAGTTGCTGAGGTTGAGAAATACTGGGAAAGGATGATGGGAGGTGAGTCCTTGAGCGAGAGAGAGACTGTTGGTAATTTCAGTAGGGCTAGAAATTTGGTGGTGGGTGGGGAAAATGTTCCCTGAAGTATACCTCTCATGGGCCCCAAATCAGCCCTCAGGGGAAGCAAACCTGGGCCTGCACAATTTTTAGTCCTTCCTAGCTTTGCCCAGCTTAGTTTCTTTTGGGTGTCCTAAGATTTCTCGGTGTTCATTTATTTTCTTCAGATGTGCCACATCTGTGGCTTGAATGTGTGCTTCAAGCTCAGCCTCGACGAAGGTATCCGGGGTTGCTGATGGCCTTTGGTGGAAGTGGATTGTTGGGGTCCCGGGTGGCCAGAGGAGACCTGCTCCCTCTCCACAAAGGACCTCACAACTCTACCACAAGTGCAGTTGTGCCATTGCCAAGAAAAATAGGGTAAATTTGGTTGACTGTAAAGTGAATCCACTCCCCCCCCAAACGCCCCCCCTCCCTCCTTTGAGCTTTTGAAAAAGAATATGTAAATCTGTTTTGGGCTGGGCTTTTTCCCGTTTTGCTGTAAATACCAGATTGTGAGGATGGGCTAGCCCTAGTGTTGACATACAAGGCTCTCTGCAAAACGAAATGGCTTGTGAGAACTGGAGCAGGGGCTGGAGGAGATGGGTTACTTGCCGCCCCCCTCCTCTTGCAGCCAAATCGTGAAAAATGCTTGTCACCTCAGCAAGAGAAATGGTGGAACACCACCTGTCCTGCCTCCTGGTGAGATTGTCTGTAACGGATGTGCTTTTCCTGGTGAGCTTACTGGACATTTAGCGCTATTCCAAGCATCACTACTGAACTGAGATTTCATTCCATTCTTTAGCCAGACCAGTAATTTCTCAGGCATGGCGAGTTTCAGCTGGGTGGACTTCAGCTCCCAGACAGAGAGACTGGGTGGGGATTCTGGGAATTGAAGTCCGCCCAGCTTAAGCAAGCTTGAGAAACCCTGTTTTGGACATCTTTCTTTTATGTAATGGTACTCTGAATTAATATGTTTCTGATTCAAATTATCGAGAATCTGTAGGGAGCACTGCTGTGAACTTCTCAGGAAGCTGCTCTCCAAACTTGGCAATTTTAAAACTTGCGGAGTTAAACTCCCAGAATTCCCCATCTGATTACGCAGGCTGGGGAATTCTGGGAGTTGAAGTCCACAAGTCTTAAAGTTGCCAAGTTTGGAGACTCCTGTCCTAAACAATGCCACATAGACTTTTTATGTGAGTGGGGAAGGGGTTGGGGGGGGGGGGGAATAAGGCTGAGCGGAAACCACATAAGGCAACCTAAAATAAGGGTTATTTTATTTTCCAGCTGACACTTAATTCCGAGGGTCTCTAATATTGGTGCCTGCCTTTTCAATATGAAGTTTGAATGTATTTGGTACAGTACATTAAAGCTGGTTTCAATTTTGCACTGTAAAAAGTCTTTAAAAGTATAATTAAAGTTTTTTATTATTTATTTGGTGGAGGGATTTTATTTGTGTGGTTAAGGCGAAGAGCAGGCATTGTCCTAGGATGCCCCAGGATTTTCCACCCAGAGACCACCTGAGACGGTGAGATTCACAGACGCCATTCACAAAATGGTATCAGGAGTGAGGGGAACCATCATTCAGGAGAACGAATGGACACAGATTTTAAGAAAAGAAAAAGGCATTGTTTTACTATTTGTAACATATCTGGAAAGAAACCAGAGCAGATGATTCCGCAACTACAGATACAAATAATTTAAAAGTAGGCTTTGTTGCACACACAGCCTTTATCCTTTTGTCTAAATGTCCTTTTTTTGTCCTTTTGGTTATCAAAAAGGAAATGTGCGGGGTTTTATTATCTGATGGATTTTTAGCTTTTTGTAAGCCGCCTGGAGTTACCTATGTGTGAGTTGGGCAGCTATATAAATTTGTTTAATGAATAAAATAAAATGCTCAGGTGTGACACATGGATGAGTCTCAACCCGCGTATACTTGAAGAGAATTCCTGAATAGAATTTAGCAGTTTATCATATTGTGTGGCCTGCTTCTCGCTCACAATCACTATTTACAAAACACAATGATCCCTCTTGCACATTCTGTGGTGGCCATATTAGCAATTTCTCTTCCCGTTGATGAAATTCACGTTGATTCCAAGGTTTTAATCCTAAATACAGATGCACTGTTTCAAATGATTGACCGTTAAATCCATTCATTTTCTGGGCCAAATAGTATAGAAGGGGAAGCACCTTCGAAATGATTGTTGAGTTCTCGGCAGCCAGCCCAAATCCAGCCTGGCCACCTCCATATCTTGTATTACCGTATCCATCATCCCCAATCATAAGCAGTGGTTGTGCTGCTGGGAGTGATTAAGCTAACCTTTATTGTCGTTTTTTATTGTGAGCACACTGGTACACATTAAAAATGAAATTCTGTTGCCTGCTCTGAAAAAAAGTATATATAACACTGTCCATTTTGAACATATAGCGGAAAGAAGAAATTAAGAGTTCACGAGATTGATATTAAACTGTGACTGAGTCTAGATGTTCTGCTTCGGAGATCACAAAGCCTCCTCCCAGAAGGTAACAAGGAGAACAGGTCATAAAGAGGATGAGTAGCATCCTGGACAATACCGTGGACAAGTATCGCTTACATGCCATGTCCTGGATAGAAGGAAGTGAACTCCCAGTGATCTTTTTTGCCATCCTCGCTACTCTGCACAGCCTTCTTGCCCAAAGAAGTAATGCTTCCGATCCAGACAGTATATGTGGGTATATGCATACTTCTGTATTTATTTATTTTATCAAGTTTATGTGGTGTATATTGGAGGTAGTGACCCTTTGAGAGCTGTATGCAATGAAATTTCATTTTAATGTATGGCGATTTGCGTACATCCAAAGTGACAAAGTTATTCTAAGTTCTAAGTAATGCTCTTTAGAAAGTGGTAAAGGCAGGGGAAGGCAGATACACTTTTCTCATATAGAATAGAATAACCAAGTTGGAAGGGACCTTGGAGGTCTTCTAGTCCAACCTTGTTTAGGCAGGAAACCCTACCCCACTTCAGACAAATGTTATCCAATCTCTTCTTAAAAACTTCCAGTGTTGGAGTGTTTACAACTTCTGGAGCCAAGTTATTCCCCTGGTTAATTGTTCTATGTGACGCAGAAAATGCAAGTGCTACTGTGCCCACTTCATCGCTGTCTCACTGTTGAGTTATCCAGAACATCTGGAGAACAAAATGTTCTCACAGCACCAGCAACAACTATTTCCACACATGAGGCAGTTCTGATCATGTTGTTATAGCTGATGAGGAAAACTTGATTTTGCAAAGCATGTTTTAGAGTAATCTCTATTCCAGATCAGATATTCTCCAAATACGGTAGTACCGGGACCCCCAATACAAAAAATGATGTTTTGAGTTGAACTGAATATTTTATTTGGCCAAGTGGGATGAGACACACAAGGAATTTGTCCCATAAAATGCAAAGCAAGAAAAAGAATAATATCTATAAAAAGGGGAAGTAAAGAAGATATTACAGTGATCAGTAATAATACTACTGCAACCCTCTTGTTAATAAAGGAAATGAGAAAACCTAAGAGCGGCAGTGCACTGCATTAACTCCCAGCTGGCCAACATTGGGCATGGCATGTTGGCTTGCAAGGTATCCTAGTTTGCATCCCAGTCATGGCCGCTTGAAGACGGTGGACTGCAACTCCCACAATTCCTCAGCAGTCAAACGCGGCGCCCTGTCTACTTTTCGTGAGGGGCGGGGCCTTCCCGAGCCACGTGATCGCCGCACGCGGGCGAGCCGGGCGGCGGACACCAATCAAGGTCCGCGTGACCGCGACTGGGCGGGGCCTCGCCAGGTTTGGATCCGTTGCTTTTGGCGGGAAGAAGATGGCGGCGGCGGCGCCGCCAAAGGAGGAGAAAGAGAAAGGAAGTCGCGCTCCTGCCGCGGCCCCTCAGGGTAAAATCGGCCGCGAGGAGGTCCTGGACTACGTGGTCAATCAGTTCCTGCAGGCGCTGGACGCCGGCGGGTGAGAGGGGCGAGCCGGGCGGAGATGATGGGCTTGGACCGGCGGTGGCAAAGCTGGCTCAGGAATTCTGGGAGTTGCAGTCCACAGGTCCTCAAGTTGCCATAGTTACCCTCCCCTGCTCTAAAGGAGTGACGTAGCTGTGTGGGATTATTTCTCCCCCCCCCCCCGCTTGAAGCCGCGTGGACTTCAACTCCCAGAATTCCCCATTCAGCTCAGTCTAGCCAGGGGTCCCTATCGCCCCCCAAGCGCCAGAGGGAGCGTCCAAGGGGTGGGGGTGGGGGTCAGTGAATGAGGGACGGTTGATGGGCATCACCTTTTGGGGTCTGGTCCTCGTCCTGAGAGAGATGGTCAGGGGGCCCAGGGGTGGGTGGTCAGCAGCCAGCAAAAGCCGCCCGCAGATGGTGGAGTTGAGTTAATATTACTGCAGCTTGAGTTTATTAATGAATTATTATTAGCCTGTGAGTCTGTAGAGATTCTCGGTCATCATCCAGGTCCTGGTTATCCCAAAGGTGCTTTTTCAGGAGGCAACTGGACTTGCTTGTTTTTTCTTGGAGGAGAAGCGGAACGTTTTCAAAGAAAAAACTAGAAAGTCCAGTTGCTTCCTGAAAAAGCACCTTTGGGACAACCAGGACCTGGATGATGACCGAGAATCTACAGACTTTTAGCTATACAATTTGGGATGGGGTGGGAGTAGGAATGGATTTCCAGAGGAAAAATTACAGACTACAGGAAACAGGAGCACCATTCAGGTGACCCTGAGGACACAGGCAAACCTCCCAGGGGCCTCAACAACTCTCTAAAAGGATGCAAATGACCAGCTGTCTGCAAGGAGTGTAAATCATTCCACTCCCCTCCATCCTAGTCAGAGCTGAAGAAACTTCTTGGATGAGAAGCGAAACGTCTTCAAAGAAAAAACAATGTCCAGTTGCCTCCTGAAAAAGCACCTTTGGGATATTAGATTGAGTTTTGTTATTCTTAGGGGTTGGTTGTACAGTTGGCCAGATGTTTAGAACGGATTTGGCCTGGATTTGACCAGTGAGCTGAAGAATTTGCCGATCTTTGGCTCATCTGCTTCAGATATCAGATGGTTATCAGCAGCTCACAAAAAAACTACACCTTTGACTCATTTGGAAAAGGTGCCACCAGAGTAGATATTGGTGAGCCCCAAACAAGTTTTGTTCTTCAGGAGGTTTTCAACTATGAGTTGGCTCTGCATATGAGAAAGGTAGAGGGGATGTTGGCCACCAACTTCATCCAGCAAATGAGGTTTAGCATTATAGGAGTCCTTCTGAAAAAGAATATTTTGTATTTGTTTTATAACCTGATTGGCAGCTTCCCTTTTTTGTCCCTAGATGTCGCCTTTTCTCCAAGTGCTACAGCTGCCTCTACAAAGCTCATCCTGAATTCACAAAATGTATTTATAATCAGTTCATATCCCATCTGCAAAATTCTGTACGGGTAAGTCCCAGAACATGGACAGTTTCCTTTTTTCTTTTTTTCAGGGCACCCAGCAGTTGTTAGTTAGAAGCAAAGATTCTCAATTTGCAAAAAATGATTAGGGGACTGAAGACTAAAACATATGAAGAATGGTTGGAGGAATTGGGTATACCTAGTTTAATGAAAAGAAGGACCAGGGGTGAATAATAGTGTTCCAATATTTGAGGGGCTTCTTCAAAGAAGGGTTGGTGGGTGTCAACCTATTCTCCAAAGCAAGAAGCAATGAGTGAAGGCTTATCAAAGAGAGAATCAGCCTAGTATTAAGGAGAAATTTCTGACAGTGAGAACTATTAACGAGTGGAATGACTTGCCTCCAGAGGTTGTGGGTGCTGTAATACTGGAGGTCTTCAAGAAGAGATTGGACAGCCACTTGTCTGAAATGGTATATAGTGTTTTCTGCCTGAGCAGGGGGTTCAGGTAGGTTCCTTCCAACTCTGGTATTCTGTTATTTTGTTAAAAACTACTGTTCTACTGTGAACTGCATTATTTTGGTGATTATACTCCCTGTTCCCAAAGCAATTGGCAATAAACAGCATCATAAAAATGGGAAGAAGTAATCTAATTGAACCGCTGCAAAATAAGAGATTTATCTAAAACATTTCAAACCTCCAGTGAAGAGGAACATGTCCCTTCATGAGGCAATCTGTTCCGCTGGTTGACAGCTCTTCCTATCCAGATGTTCCTCTTAATATCTAACCTGAATCTTTGCCAACAATTTCAACCTATCATTTCTTCCGTTGCCCTCCAGGACAACCAAGGAGAGGTCAGTTCCTTCCTCCATTACAGACAAATGTGTTTTAGAAAGGAAGATTCTGAATTTTTTGCTTATGTTTTGGGAAATGTTTTATTAAAATGTTTTTTTTTTTACAAACAGGCTAGTTTGGAAAGCTATTTTAGTTACCCAGTTAAATAATGACATTCTTAGGTACAGAGTTTACCAGGACTAATTTAGGGTTTCCACCTTTGCCAGCAGTAAAATGTAGTTCGGCCCTACTAAGTGAGAAATGTAATTTGATGAATACTTAAATGTAGAATAACTCTACTCTTAAAATTGAGGGTAAAACTTTTGTCTGGAAAGAATGGGTGCAAAAGGATGTAATTACACTTGCTCCATTGTTGCTTAATTATAACTTTAAAAGTTCTTAGCAAGTACAGCCCTTTAAACCATCAATCCAGTTAAAATGTGTTTTGAAAATTTAATATGGGGCCAATGTTTTAGCACCTTCTAAAGTATCTGATTATTAATGCAAAACACTTCAATTTTAGAATCTAAACCTATTTGCACATTTTGTGAAAAGTTGAAGTGTTCAAAACATCAAAAACAAATATACAAGAATTTTGGAATCAAGAACTGGAATTTCCAGTCCTTCCAAACCAACAGACTCAAATCTTGAAGAATATTAAGTTTAGATCCTGTGATTTAAAGTTGAAATTAATCTTCCAAAAGATTGTTTTTCATATTTATAGGATACCATCTAGAAAATTTTTGGAAAGGATGGGTTGATAATTATTTGTGTTGGCATTGGAAGAAAATTGAGGGAACTTCAATTCATATTGTCAATGTTCCTTTTGGAGCAATGCTATATCATATGCTAACAGACGTATCGGGAAAACTTTGGTTTTGAAACACATGTGTATTGTATTAAATTATATATCAGCTACTTGGAACTTACCATGTTCAGAATAAATATATTTTTATACCCTAGGAATACCACAAATTATTTGAGAAAATTGCATATTCTGTCAATTGGAAAAATCAACATTCTCTTTCCCTTTGGAAAAAAATATTGGACAGTTTGGGGTATATTGAAAGCTTATTTTTCTGAGGTGAAGGAGCTGGAAGCTGCTTCTGCTTTGCTGTGCCTGCCCTTCTCTGTGAGAAATAGTAGGCCTTCCCTTTAGTAGCATTTCCTAAATGGCTCAGAACTGAGTTACTCAGAAAAGCATTTGAGTTTTGATCCCTTTTATTCATGTATTTATTGGTTTTATTTTTTATACTTTTGTGGCGCTTATTATATTTTGTTCTGTGTGCTTTGTTTCTAATTACTAATATTTTTTTGTATGCTTTTTTGTGTACTGGATGGCCTTATGAGCACCCAGGAGTTGTTTGATTGCAGTGGATAAATGCTTTCATTTGAAGCAGGCTGTTTCTCCCGGGAAAACGGTCTGTGTGCTTGCAGTTCCAACCCAGCAGCTTTCTTCACGTGGCCCATTTCACTGATTTGATCCATGCCTCACAAAGCGTTTACACCACTCCCATTGGCTGCATTATATAACTATACTCTGATTTTAAATTTTATTTATTTACTCGTATGCTGCCTTTATTATGTTTACAAACAATTCCTTCCTCCTCTGTTTCTCACCACAACCTTCTGTTTGGCTGAAGGAGAGGAACTGGCCCAAAATCCCCCAGCTGGCTTTCACACCTAAGGCAGAACTAGAACTCCGTCTCCCACTTTCTATCCTGGTGCCGTTCTCTGGCTGTTGACATTTTGCAAGCCAACCCAGGCAGTCCTTCTTCCACACATCACTAGACTGTCTCTGTCTCCGCAGGAAGAGATCCAGGCCCTCAAGGAGGAAGGGAACCTGCCGTTGCTCCTGGAGTCCCTGGATAAGCTTGAGAAAGAAGCGAAGGACAAGGAAGGCCCTGCCTGGTGAGGCTTCTTTGCATGCAGCTGCATTCTCGGGATTCAGCCCAATGACTCTGCGGCCTGCTGTTTCTCTTCACGACCCCTTCTTGCTGCCCTCTGTTTCTGAGCTTTGGAGCAGTTGGTATTATGCCTCTGAAGGCAGCAATGTTGTGTGTTAACGGCAGAGGTGTGGCCCTACTGCAAAATGCTGGGTGGGAGCTTTTATGGTGTCCTCCTGCCAGGAGAGCTGATGCCTCCAGGTCGCTCCTGATGTGCGCCTTCTCTCTGAATCCAGGCGCCCGAGTGGCATCCCCGAGGAAGATGTCCGTGGGGTGGTCCTGCCCTACCTTCTGAAGCAGCGCAAATTCCTCCAAAAATTCCTGAAGGAAAAGCAGGAGAGCAACTCGCAGCTGGCTGCCGCTGTAGTGGCCGGTCGGCAGAGGATTGCAGAGCTGCAGGAGCAGATCTGCCGGCAGAAGGAAGAGTGGCAGGTGGGTGCCGCCTTGACGAGCAGTTGGGACCAGGAAATTCACAGGGATCTCAACATCTTTTTTATAGTGTGGTGACCAAAACTGAATGCAGTACTCTAGGTGTGGTCTTACTAGGGCTTTATAGAGTGCTATTAGTATCTCCCCTTGATCTTGATTGTATCCCTCTGTTAATGCAATTTAGGATTGTGTTGGCTTTTTTGGCTGCATCTGCACACTGCTGGCTCCTATTTAGCTGGTTGTCCACTAAGACTCCAAGATCCCTCTCAAAGTTCCTGCTCTTAAGCCTGGTTTCACCTAGTCTATATGTGCACTTTTGGTTTTTCTTGCCTAAATATAGGACTTTACTTTTCTCTACATTGAATTTCATTTTATTAGATAGGGCCCAGGGTTCAAGTCTGTCAGGATCCATCTGGGTCTTGAGCCTATCTTCTTGGCTGTTGGCTCTTCCTGCCAGTTTAGTATCATCCGCAAATTTGGTAAGTTCCCCATCCATTCTCTCATCTAAGTCATTTATGAAGATATTGAAGAGTCCTGGGTCTAAGACGGAACCTTGTGGTACCCCACTGCTTACTTCCCTCCATGTAGACGTAGTACCATTAAGGACTACTCGTTGAGTACGGTTTGTCAGCCAGTTACAAATCCATCTGATGGTGAAGCTACCAAGAAGTAGGTTGTGGTCTACTTTGTTGAATACCTTGCTGGAGTCTAAGTCTATTAGGTCCACAGTGTTTCTGAGGTATATATGAGGGAGACTGTTTCTTCTTACTTAAAGGCTGTTCTGGCAACGGACTTACCTCTCTGTCTCGCCTTGTAGGGAATTGCTATCGAAGGCCGGAAGATGATGGAGACCTTTGATGATCTCTCCTGAGAAGACCTGGCTGCTTTTTGGAGGCGAGAATGTGAGGGAGACCTTAGAGTGAACCTGTGGATTTTCTGCCAGATTTCCAGAGCAGCCAATCTGCGGAAGAGGGCTGCTCCCTCTTGGCTTGACTATGGGGTGGGAGGCTGAGGGTGGGATGCATGTGACTATGTACTTATTTTTATTAAAATATTACAGCTCATGCTTTGTATTTCTTTCACTCAGAATATTAATTCTGCAAGTTCTCTTGTTTGACATCCATGGACTAGTACAAATACAGCCGTAGAACAGCCAAAGAATGCAGTCAGATAACGAGTGATTGTTTTGGGTATACATTTGGAGACTGCATCTAGATTCATGCTTGCTGGGGAATTCTGGGAGTTGCAGTCCGGACCTCTTAAAGTTGTCAGTTGTTGAAAAAATACTGGACAAGATGGTCTCCAAGCTCCCTTTCATTCTTCAGCATCTTTTCTGATATCTGAAGAGCTTCCTCTCGCCCATCTTTCTCTCAAGGTTCAACCAGCTTTTTCAACACCTTGATGAGCTTTTATTTTTAGACTCCTGGTCATCTTTCTCGCTTTTTTCAAACTCTTCCCATGTCTCTGAAAACGGAGGCCTGACTTTCACTGACACTTTTTTGGCCTGGGAAGCATGGAAGAGATTTTGCTAGGAGAAGACTTTAGAATTCTTGAGAAGAGAAGAGAATAGAGAATAGAATGTAAAAAATTTAGAGTAGAGTAGAGTAGAGTAGAATAGAATAGAATAGAATAGAATAGAATAGAATAGAATAGAATAGAATAGGAGTTGGAAGGGACCTTGGAGGTCTTCTAGTCCAGCCCCCTGCTCAAGCAGGAGAACCTGTACTATGTCAGATAAGTGGCTGTCTAGTTTCTTCTTAAAAAAAGATGCTTGTCTCTTCTGCAGAGTTCTTCATGAAGCTCTTCAGGGTTATTTATTTTATTATCTATCAAATGTATGTGCTGTCTGGCTCACATCGGGTGACACCGAGTGGCTTGTTATAATAATGGGAGAGGATCACCCCCAACCCCCCAGACCCAGAGACTAAGCTCCCAAGAGCTTCTGGATCTGGATCTGAAATACGTCCCCCATTTTACTTTGATGCGCAGAGCTCTTGGAGCCAGGAAGGGACCCCAACAATGTCCCTCACGGAAACTGGCGCTCTGCTGCCCTCCAGACATCTGCTTTTGATAAGAAGCCGGTTTGGGAGGGAGGCTGACCCAGCTCAGGACTCCGTAAACAAAGCCTTGAGGTCATGATGAATGTAACAGGAGATGCCAAGGCAGAATCACTGGTTGGCCCACGCTGGGCTTCCTGGGGCCGGTGGGAGATGCCAAAAAAGCCTTCGCTGCCTCCGTCTTTCTGGCTGGGCTTCTACCGGTCGGCGAGCTGTTGAGGTCTCGCTGAGAAAGCGAGTTGGTGCTGCTTCTCCTGAAGGAAGGCCTTCTACAGCAGATGGAAGTTCCTCACCAACACAACCACGTGTTGCATTGCTCACCTCTTCCAGTTTAGTCTGAGACCCCACGTTTAGCAATACGTTACGTAACCTGGAGATTTCTCAAGCTCTCCTAGTTCACATTTTGCATCTCCCTCTCCTCCAGTTTCCTCACGAACCTGTATTCTGGTGTCAGATCCCCACATTTGAGAACTACCAAATCAATACTGTTCTTACAATAAACTGGCTTCACACACCTGCTAAGCCCTAAAAAGGTAAACTGCAGTTAATGCAACCAACACGTCTGCACGTAGCTGCTGAATGTTGAACTTGAATCCCAAAGTCCAGCAGCCACAGCTCTATAAAATGCAAAGAATTGTCTCCTTCCTTGGGAAATCTCCATGGCTATAAGTTGCAGCCACCTATATTTTGTTTAAATGTAATGAACAACCAGCAGATGGTAAACCTATCTATACAAGAGGGGAACAGTCTGCCTGTCCTGAAGGCAGAAGAAGCAGCAGTGGTTGGAAACAAGGAGAGAAGCAACCTAGAACTAAGGAGAAACTTTCTGACAGTGAGGACACTCCAGAAGTTGTGGGTGCTCCATCACTGGTGGCTTTCAAGAAGAAACCGGGCAGCCATTTGTTTGTGATGGTAGAGGGTTTCCTGCCTGAGCAGGGGGTTGGACTAGAGGACCACCAAGGTCCCTTCCAACTAACTCTCTTATTCTATATTCTGGGGTCAAGCCTGGCCAGTTGAGCCTTCAGCAGCGGATAAACCGTTTAGGATTCTTTCCGGCTTCTTCAGTTGCATGTTGGAGCCTCTCCTGTGTTGGCTTGACTATTTGATTACACTTTGTTTAAATCGCTACCTTTTGCTTCCAATAATTCAGAACGGTTTACATTTCGGTTCCCAGGCTGAGAAGACGGCACCTTCATTAGGACAGCTGAACTTGTACCAAATTGTTGTTTTTGAGTTTTGAGAATCCTCCTTTCATGCTGGGAGGGGAACAGTGGCTGGTCTCAGTGCCACGTCTGTCTCGAGAGACGGAGGCGCAGCCTGGGCATTGTATTAGGCTGGTTTGGCCCCGCTTGCTAGGCTAGGATAAAGCGGGGCCAGGAAATTCATAGTTTTACATCTCGGGGAGTGTTTTGCCTCTTGCAACTTGGCCAGAGCCCTGGGGTGAATGGGAGGCCCTCCAAAGAAGCCCTGTACTTGGGGAACCAGTAACTTCCAGCTGTCAAAGCCCAGCCTGTCATTATTCTTTGTATCTCGGGCACCGCCCAGATTCGAAGCAGAGGAAAACAGGCACACGTGGCATTCAGGGCAGCAGAGCGTCTCGGGCATCAGCTGGGGCTGGGTGTCTGATGCGAAGAAGGCCCACGGAGTTTCCTCTCCCCGGATCTGGAAGCCTTCCCAGGGCTCAAGTTCAGCAGTGCGGCTGCCCCAGACAGGATGCCTGGCGGGGAAAGGACGGAGGAAGCGGGGACTTAAATCACAGGCTTTCCCCACTTTGGCCCAGCTTATCTGCACAGGCAGGGAAAACCATGCGGATGGCTGGTAATTACAGCCCTGGGGCCTTGCGCCTCCTGGCCTCAGTCTTGCCCAGTCTCTTGGCCAAGGACCAGCCCCCCTTTCCCTGGGGACCCCGTCCCATGAAAACCTCTGCCACAGCGAGACAAGCGAAGAGCAGGGGCTGCTGGTAAACTGCAGTTGCTTCCAAGTGTGAGGAAAATACGTTTTGGAGGCGTGAGAGATGGAAACATGGAAACATGCCAGTTTTAAGAGTTTGGATAAAGGGGGCTGAGAACTGAGTACCAGCAGTCCTGGACCTTAATGGAGCCCAAAAAGTCTGTTGCTAAGCGAGACATTTCTTAAGTGAAGAATTTTACGACCTTTCTTGCCACAGTTATTAAGTGAATCACTGCAGCTGTTAAGATAGTAACAGGTTGTTAAGTGAATCTGGCTTTCTCATTGACTTTGCTTGTCAGAAGGTCGCAAAACAGGATCACACGACCCCGGGAGACACTGCGACCGTCATAAATATGAGTCAGTTGTCAAGGGGCTGAATTTTGATCACACGACCACGGGGCTGCTGCAACGGTCATAAGTGTGAAAAATGGTCATAAGTCACTTTTTCAGTGCCGTTGTAACTCTGAACAGTCACTAAATGAAAGGTTGTAAGTCAAGGATAGCCTGTACTTCAAGGTTGCCTCAATGATCGCCCTTCCCTTCTAGGTTTCTGTCTGGTTAACAGGCTCCACATTCTGCCGTCGGAGGAGGGAAATACTGCCTGTCTCTTCGTTTTGGTTCTAGTACAGTTTTTAAATAATACTTTAATCTGTGTGATTTTAAGGTGTTAATGCTTTAATTATTTTTATTTCTTTTATAATAAGCCACCCATAGTCACTTTGCAGTGGCACAAAATTTTAAGGGAGGAAGGAAGGATGGAAGGAAAGAGAGAGAGAAAGAAAAGAAAAGAAAAGAAAAAGAGAGAGAAAGTAAGTAAGTTTGAATGGCCATTTGAGATGCCATTACAGGAATGATGGGTGCCCAAAGGACCAGGATGGGCAAAATCTTTTGGATAGCACATAATCAATCAATCAATCAATCAATCAATCAATCAATCAAGATGCGTGATAAAATAAAAGCAATTTAGAAGGAAATTTGGTTTGTTTCCTGAGACCAATTCTTTAAAAAAAGATGATACCAAACAACTAAAAGGGCACAGAATTATGTAATTATAGCAATGCCTAAATCCACACAGTAAAACAATAAAATGTTGATCAATAAGGCCATAATTGACATTAGAAAGTTTCCAATTTAGTGCCCTAAAAGTCAGCCTGCCAATCCAGCCTGAGGGAAGTTCGAACCCTTCAACTTTCTTGGGTTTCTGTGGAAATCCCTGCTTGAAAGAAGTGGCCCTTGGAGTCCGGCCTCTGCTCCTGGCAAGGCCGGGTGGCGGGAGAGTGCCAGTCCTTGGAGAGGCAGAGCGCAGGGCAATCCGAGGCAGCCTCTGATCTTTTGGGAGGAAAGCGATGGAGCTGAAGGGGGAACGTGGGCCTTGCAAGGCAGATGGGGACGCAAGGAAACTGGACTGCCGCAGATCATCGGCCAGCTTCCAAGCCCAGGGTACCCACAGGATGCAGTCAAGAATTGAAGCTCTGTCACAGCACATATTTTATGGAGGCTTCGGTCGCACCTGGGCACCTCTTGGGGAATGCTCTGGTCTGGGGGTCTCCAACCTTGGCAACCTTAAGACTTGGGGACATGCTGGCTGGGGAATTCTGGGAGTTGAGGTCCCCAAGTCTTAAAGTTGCAAGTTTCTCAACTTTGGCAAATTGGAGATGGCTGAATTTCTGGGAGTCAAAGTCCAGACAACTTAAAAGCTGCTAAGATTGGGAAAGGCCTGCACGGAGCAGGGGCTGGACTAGATGACCTCTGAATTCCCCTCCAAATATGCTGCAATGAAAAGTACCTGAAATTTACATCTCCCCTTACACCCCACCTTGAAAGGGGCTCCACTCGCGGCCCCCCCCAAAGTGCTCGGAGCTCCGCCAGACCCCCGAAGCGTCTGCCGAAACGCGCTTGGCGGAGCCTCCCCTGGCCCGGAACCTGGCAGCTTTCCCGCACCGCCCCCGGCAGCCGGCGGCGGAGGCGGTGGTGACGCGCCCCTTCGGCTGCCAAGGCCGGCTCGGGCCAGTATAAAGGGGGCGCCGGGCATCCCAGGGCGAGAGAGCCGCCCGGAGCATCCCAGCCTCGCCATGAACGCCCTTCTGCTGGCCGCTCTCTGCGCCCTGGCCGCGCTCGGCCTCGCCCACACAGGTAAGGGGCGGTGGGCAGCGGAGGGTCTCCCGGTGCCCCGGCCCTGGGAAGAGGAGCTGGGCCCAAGAGAGGGGCTTCTCCAGCGGGAGGGAAGGGTGCTGCGGGGTGTCTGCAGCCTCCAGCCTGCCCTCGCTCCCCGCTCCCCCTCGGGCTCCCTTCCCCAAACCCAGGACGAGGCTGGCAGAGGAAGCCCCTCGCTGAGGCGCCCGCCCGCTCCTCTTTTGCAGAGGCTGCTCACTCCCGGAGTGTCGACGGGCCGCCCAAGTCGGAAGGTGAGTGAAGCGCCTTCTATTGTGTCCCCCCCCCGGCCCTCTCACCGCCCCCAGCCCAGGAGAGGAGCAGCCTTGAGGCGCCTCTGAGGTTCCTGGCATCTTCACCCTTCGCAGATTTCGTACGCCCTTCTGGCGCTGCCCCCTTGAAGCCGCCCTCTCCGCTGGAGCCATGCCAAAGGGGGCTGCAGAGGCGATGGAGACCCCGGTCCCTGCCCTGCAAGTCGGGATGGCGCCCTTTGGCCCTCGCTTGGAATTAGAGTGGCAGAAAAGCGGCGGTTATGTTATGCCCACCTCGCTTGGGCCAACTCTCAGCTCAGGCCTGGGTGCCTTTGCAGGAAGGCTTTGGAAGTGGCCACCTCTTCTTTCTGTTCAAAGCACGAGGACTAGAATCATACAATATACTTCCAATCGGAAACAGAGCTTCCCAGTTGCCCTTCCTCGGCCCCTGTCCTAAACACACCCTCCTTTCCTGCAGCTTTTGTCTCCAAGCGTGTGGGGGCTGAAATCGTGAAGCGACAGAAGAGGAACTACAACAGGTACAGGGAAAGTGGGCGCTCACCATGGCTGGATGACCCATCCCATCCCTGAATTTCCCAGACACCCCCCCCCCCCACAATTGGACTCCATGAACACTTGGCAACTTCAATTCTGGGAGTTCAAGTCCACACTTCTTAAAGTGTCCAAACTTGAGGGACTCTGCTCTTAGGAGGCATATCACAGACCCCGTAAGCAGGGGAAGCAGCTGGGGTGGTGTGTGACCCAAAGGGGCTGCAGAGGAGAGGTCCTCTCCCATCAATAGGCCCCAAGCCCTCCATGTCCCCTGGGGACCCACCCACTCGCTTCCTCGCCTCCCTGTCTTCCACCGCAGCGTGACCAAGCCTTGTCCCAGCGAAGCCGCCCAAGGCCTCCCCCAATCACCCTCTCCCTGTTGCTTCCTTCACAGTGGCTACGATGCTGCTGGGGCTGCCCCCCAAGTGGCCGTGAACCCCCTCGAGGCCCAGCGGGAGGTCTGCGAGCTTAGCCCCGCCTGCGACGAGTTGGCCGACCACATCGGTTTCCAAGAAGCTTATCGGCAGTTCTACGGACCCGTCTAGCCCACCAAGCGTTTCTGCAAACCCCAGAGGACCCCTCCCCTTCCTTTCCCCCCAGTCGAAGCTGCTTGTAACTTTGCTTTGTAAAGAAGCTTGGGAAATTGGTAGTTTTATGTTCTAGAAAAAAAATAAAGGGAAAAACCCCAGGAAGTGGTGCTGCAGGTTATTTCACTGGATGGAGCAGACGGGCTTTTCTGTGGCGGAGAGGGGGTGTCGCCTAATGGCTCCCCATGAGTGGGGGTCCTTTCTGCCCCTTACAGCCACCCCAAATGAGGAAAGCATGAGACCTACAAGCCTAAATGCCCCACCCCCCAAGAAATCTCAAATGCCTCCTTCTTTCAACCACTGTCATTCGTCGTCATCCATTCGGCCGAGTCCGACCTGCAGCCACTCTATGGATCAGCCCTCTCCCTGCCCCTCTGACCCACACCGCCTCCTTCAGACACACCAGGGTCGTCACAGTGCTATCCTTTATAGTGTCCAGCTAGTGGGTACTGTGGGGGGGGCTTCTCCTTTTTCCACTGGTCACTCCTGGCATGATTGACTTTTCAAGGGAGTTGGCTTGCATGACGTGGCCAAAGCAGGACAGCCCCTGTTGAGAGATCTTGGCCTCCAGTGATATTTTGGGTGCCGTTTTGGGTGCCTGAAGACCAGCTGGTGGTGCCTGGTGGAGAGGGCTCTGCGTGTCACCTCTGGCACACGTGTCATAGGTTCACCATCACGGCCCTCGGCCTAGACCATTCTAGACCAATCTCTTCTTAAAAGCCCTCCAATGATGGAGCACTTACAGCTTCTGAAGGGAAGTCGTTCAGCTGTTGTCATTGATGGGAAATTCCTTCTTAGTTCTAGATCTCCTTCTGATGAATTTCCATCGGCTGCTTCTTCCAAGCGCTGTAGGCCGCCTGATCTTAGGGCTGCAGACACCCTGTAGGCAGGCGGTATTTGGGGTCCTCAGGTTCTATCCCCTCTGCCCACAAAAAAAGCTTGGCATCTGGAGGACTTTCCTACCACACCCAGGGGGCTGCTGGGGGCGTCTGGTGGGCACAGAGCTAAGGAACGCATGGAGTCCCAAGTCATCTAATACAGGTAGTCCTTGGGGGGGGTTGGACTAGATGACCTACAAGGTCCCTTCCAACTCTGTTATCCTGTTCTGTTCTGACTTCCAACCAATTGTGGAAGTGATTGTTCAAAGTTGCCTCTCCTGGGCTACTTAGGACCTGGATTTCAAATTCCAATGCCCCCTCCCCCATGGTCATGTGATGACATTTTGGGCACTGGCAACTGGTCCCCATTTATGACCATTTACAGTGTCCTCTGATCCTGTGATGGTAATTTACAACATTTGTTCCTGGAAACTGGCTTTCACTTCTCGCTTCTGGCAAAAAAATGCCTACTGCAGACAATGGATTCACTTAATGACTGCCACATTCACTTAATGACCATGGCGATTTACTTAATAACTGCTTCAAAAAGTCGTAAAATTAGGCGCTGTCAGGTGGTGACCCGCTTAGTGACCAGCATGACTTACAACAAAATTCCAGGCTGAATTACAGTTGTACTTCGCACGGGTAGTTACGGGGACGTCTAGATACTCCCGTGTAACATCTCTCCTGCGTGAGCTGCACTGGCTGCCGGTGGCGCTCTGGATGCATTTCAAGGTGCTGGTGCTCACCTATGAAGCCCTTCATGGCTTAGGCCCGGGGTACTTGCAGGACCATCTCCAGCCGCTCTCCCACCGTCCTGTGCGCTCTCACAGAGTCGGCCTCCTCAGGGTGCCGTCGGCCAAACAATGTCGGCTGACGGCCCCCAGGAGGAGAGCGTTCTCTGTGGGAGACCCGACCCTCTGGAATGGATTGCCCACCGAGCTCAGGACAGCCCCCGACCTTCTTTCCTTCCATCGCGAGCTGAAGACGTGGCTCTTTCGTGAACTCAACTGATCCGTTTGGGGGTACACTGCCATAATTTTAAACTGTTTTTAATAGGGTCACTGATTTTAATTTTATTTCATTCTGATTTGTATTGGAATTTGTCATTTTGTAAGCCGCCTTGAGTCCCCAGGGAGAAAGGCGGCATATAAATCGCAATAATAAATAAATAAATAAATCAAGAACTACTTGTAATGTGCTAAAACTGACGCAGAAGAGCCAGTTAGGCGAAGTTATTGTGCAAAAATAGGGATTTTGATGGCTGAGATTCCCCGCTAGCTAAAGGGCGGAAGAATCCACCGGCAAAGCTTCCCTTCCTCAAGATAATAATCCCATCTGTAAGGATGCAGACTGTAAGACAAAACGCACCTTCCACTGACTCCTCTGAACTTTTCCACCGAGGGGAGAGGGAACTCCTGAACACTGCAGGGGCAGCTCCTTTCTATTGCTGCTCACCTTGACTGCAAACGCTGCAAGTCGGCTTTAACTGAGATTAGGCAGCTGACCTTCTATCGTGGCTTCCGAAATGGTTGGAGACTTATTTATTATTTATTTTATTTTTGAATTTGTATACCGCCCTTCCCCCTGAGGACTCAGGGCGGTGAACAGCCAAATAAAAACATCAAATACAAATATTAAAATACAGTTAAAAATATATATATAAATTTGGCCCCATTAATTAAAACAATAAACAAAACAATTAAAAACACTTAAAAAGAATTAGGCCAGCCCGGCTTGTTGGAAAAGAAAGGTTTTAAGGGCACGGCGGAAGGCACTGAGGTCATGGATTCTCCTTATCTCTGGGGGCAACTGATTCCAGAGGGTGGGAGCCCCCACAGAGAAGGCCCTCCCCCTGGGGGTCACCAGCCTGCATTGTTTGGCTGATGGCACCCCGAGGAGGCCCTCTCTGTGGGAGCGCACGGGTCGGTGGGAGGTCGTCGGTGGCAGCAGGCGGTCTCGGAGATAGCTAGGCCCTATGCCATGGAGCGCTTTAAAGGTGATAACCAACACCTTGAAGCGCACCCGGAAGACCACTGGGAGCCAGTGCAGCTCGCGCAGGAGCGGTGTTACATGGGAGCGCCAGGCTGCTGCGTTCTGGACCAGTTGGAGCCTCCGGGTGCTCTTCAAGGGGAGCCCCATGTAGAGAGCGTTGCAGTAATCAAGGCGAGAGGTCACGAGGGCATGAGTGACTGTGCACAGGGAATCCCGATCAAGAAAGGGCCGCAACTGGCGGATCAGGCGAACCTGATAAAAGGTCCCCCTGGTTACAGCCGTCAGATGTTTCTCCAAGGACAGCTGCGTATCCAGGAGAACTCCCAGATTGCGAGCCCTCTCTGTGGGGGCCAAAGACTCGCCCCCAATAGTCAGTGATGGAGTCAACTGACTATATCGGGATGTCGGGAACCACAGCCACTCAGTCTTGGAAGGGTTGAGCCTGAGCCTGTTCCTCCCCATCCAGATCCGTACAGCCTCCAGGCACCGGGACATCACTTCAAGGGCATCATTGGGGTGGCCTGGGGTGGAGATGTACAGCTGAGTATCATCAGCGTACTGATGGTATCTCACCCCAAAGCCACGGATGATCTCGCCCAGCGGCTTCACATAAATGTTGAACAGGAGGGGCGAGAGGACCGACCCCTGAGGCACTCCACATATAAGAGGCTTCGAGGTCGACCTCTGCCCCCCTGCCAACACGAACTGCGACCGGTCGGAGAGAAAGGAGGAGAACCACCGTAACACGGTGCCCCCCATCCCCAACTCTTCCAACCGGTGCAGCATGATACCATGGTCGATGGTATCAAAAGCCGCTGAGAGGTCTAACAGGACCAGAACAGAGGAGCAACCCCTGTCCCGAGCCCTCCAGAGATCATCAACCAACGCGACCAATGCCGTTTCCGTGCTGTGCCCAGGCCTGAAACCAGACTGGAACAGATCCAGATAGGATGTTTCCTCCAGGAATTGCGGAAACTGTCGCGTGACCACACTCTCAACAACCTTCGCCAGAAAGCGAAGGTTGGAGACAGGACGATAGTTAGCCAATATTGCCGGATCCAGGGATGGCTTCTTGAGGAGAGGCCTCACCACCGCCTCTTTCAAGGCCGCGGGGAAGTGACCCTCACTCAATGAAGCGTTGATAACACCCTGGAGCCAGCCTCGTGTAACCTCCCGGGAGGCCAGTACCAACCAGGAGGGACACGGGTCCAGTAAACAAGTGGCCGCACTAAGTCTCCCCAAAATCCTGTCCACATCATCGGGAGTCACAGCATCAAACTCCTCCCAGATAACATTCTCAAGACTATTCCTCGTCACCCTGCCCTGATCTACCCAGTCAGAGTCCAAGTCCCCCCGGATCTGAGCGATTTTGTCATACAGGTATTGTCCGAAATCCTCCGCCCTGCCTTCCAAGGGATCCTCCCGCGCTCCCGGATGGAGCAGGGAGCGGGTTACCCTGAACAGGGCTGCCGGACGATTCCCTGATGACGCAATAGAGGCGGAAAAGTAATTAAACTTTGCCGTCTTTATCGCCACTAGGTAGGTCTTAATATGCGACCTTACCAGTGTTCGGTCAGATTCAGCGCGACTGGCCCTCCAACCGCTCTCTAGGCGTCTTTTCTGGCGTTTCATCTCCCTCAGCTCCTCGGTGAACCAAGGAGCCGCGAGGGATCGACAGCGGGTCAGAGGCCGCAAAGGCACGACTCGATCCAAGGCCCCACCAGCCGCCCGATCCCAGGCAGCTACCAGGTCCTCGGCCGAGTCGTGTGCCAGATCATCAGGAATTGGCCCAAGCTCTGTCTGGAACCTATCAGGATCCATCAGGCGCCTGGGGCGGACCCATCTAATTGGGTCCGCCTCCATGCGGCGGGGTGTAGCGGTACGAAGGTCCAGACGAAGGAGTGAGTGATCTGACCATGACAAGGGTTCCATGTCTATATCCCCTATAACAAGATCACTCAACCACTGGCCAGAGACAAAAATCAAGTCTAGAGTGTGTCCCCCCCCCCCGTGAGTGGGGCCATGAACTAACTGGGTCAGGTCCATGGCCGTCATGGAAGCCATGAACTCCCGAGCCATCCCAGACGTTTCACCAATGGATGGCAAGTTGAAATCACCCATGACCATAAGCCTGGGTGTATCAACTGCCACCGTGGCTATCACGTCGAGTAGCTCGGGCAGGGCTGCTGCCACGCAACAGGGAGCCAGGTACGCAAGCAGCAAGCCCATCTGAACCCCATGACCCCATCTCACGAAGAGGGACTCACATCCGGCAGTCTGAGGCACAGTGGTCTCCCTCGGACCAAGACCTTCTTTAATAATAACCGCCACCCCCCCGCCCCTCCCCTGGGCTCTCGGCTGATGGAATGCTCTGAAACCTGGTGGGCACATCTCGACCAGAGGGACTCCTCCCTCCGGTCCCAACCAGGTCTCCGTAATACCAGCCAGGTCCGCTCCCCCCTCCTGGATAAGATCGTGAATGAGGGGGGCCTTATTTCCCACAGACCTAGCGTTGCACAGCATCAGCCGCAGGCCCAGGTCCTGAGTATCTAAGCCACCTAGTATCCGAGGGGAGCTTTGGGGGCCGGGGCGCGCAATTGCTCTCAAACAGCAAGTGCGCGTCCCCAACACATGATGTGGCCCCCTGCTCCCGCCATATCTGCCCCTCCCAACCACCGTGCTGATGGTATTTCCCTCATTGGGATAGCCCTCCGCCCCCTCCCCATTCCCTCGTCCAGTGTCCTCCAAACCGTTACCCCATGCCGGGCTCGGCTCTGACCTTGGTGGATTACCCCCCCATCCCCTTTGGCCGTCCTCCCGGTTCCCCTTAAAAAATTATTAAAAACCCTAATTAAAAAACCCCTTAATCCCCGCTTTGAAACTTGCTGTTTTTCTGCTGCAGCAGGAAATTGGGCAGGGAGGACCCTCTATCAGACCACTAACGTTTTTAAACAGGAGGAACTCAGAAATCCAAGATAAGAGAACAGAATAGAACAGAGTTGGAACGGACCTTGGAGGTCTTCTAATCCAACCCCCTGCTCAATCAGGAGACCCTGTACCATGTCAGACAAATGGTTGCCTAATCTCTTCTTAAAAGAGTGTTGGAGCACCTACGACGTCTGGAGGGAAGGTGTCCCAGTTCTCACTGTCAGGAATTTTCTCCTTAGTTCTAAGGTTGCTTCTCTCCTTGATTGGTCTCCATTCATGGTTTCTTCTCCTGCCTTCAGGTGCTTTGGAGAATAGGCTGACCCCCCCCACCTCTTCTTTGGGGCAGCTCTGATCTGATGCTGACTATAGATTTTGCTTTGTATCCCAAGTTCCAGAACTGAGACTTGCTGTTTTTCTAAAAGAAGAGGGAGGGGCAGGGGGAGGAGTGGACGTGGCAGTGCCTGGAGACAGCAGAATAGAAGAGGAAGAACTGGAGAAGATAACAAAATACAAAGACCTACAAATAGAAATAGAACAACTGTGGCAAAGGCAAGCAAGGGTAGTACCAATAGTCATAGGCATTTTGGGTGCAATCCCAAAACAACTGGAGCACCACTTGAACAACATCATTGGCATTGACAAATTCACCATCAGTCAATTGCAGAAGGCAGCTTTACTTGGAACAGCTTCTGTCCTGTGATGATATATGTAACACCGTCAAACATCCAGATCTGCCTATCCCAGGTCCTTGGTAAACTTGATAGGTGGACAAAAGTGCCAAACCCAGGCTGAACATCTGTCTGACTCTGCGATGATTAATAATAATAATAATAATAATAATAATAATAATAATAATAATAATAATAATAGAATTGATGATGATGGATGATGAAACAGATGATGCTACTGTTGCTGCTTATAGCAAGAACAGGCCGGTCTGTATTTCAGAAAAGGAAAACCGAGATTAGGACACCAGGGGAGGTGGGGATCCTTGGAAGAATCTATGTGAATGTTTATTACTTTGTCCACATGGGAAGCCCCCTCCTCACAGTTCTTTGGGCTCATCTCTCTCATCCAGGTGGCTGTGGTGGCGGAGGAAGAGGGTTTTCTGGGTCCATCTGGGCTTCTTCGGCAGTCCTGGCAAAAGTGGTGCATGGAAACCACGGACGCCTGGAGTGGCATGGGATCAGCCATACAGTGAACGCAACAACGATGCCAGAAAACATAGAAAGACCTGCAACAATGAATCTGGCCACCACAGTCTTTTTGCTCACGTATCTCTTATGCTCTGGGGAAAAAAGCAGAAGGTGTATTAATCATTCTTGCACGAACAGGATAATTGTGGGAAAACTTTCATTTCTTTATTCAAATGATTTCCTAGAGTACAACTCTATTGTGGCTTGCCACAATAATATAACCACAAACCTCAAAAACAAGAAAGTCTGCAGAGAAGAGCAACAAAGATGATTAAGCTAAACTATATGATGAAAGATTGAGGGAACTGGGTATTTGAGGGGTCGACTGATTCTCCAAAGCCCCTGAAGGCAGGACAAGAAGCAACGGATGGAAACTCATCAAAGAGAGAAGCAACCTGGAATTAAGGAGAAACTTCCTCACAGTGAAGACCAACCAGTGGAACAGCTTGCCTCCAGACGTTGTGGGGGCTCCAACACTGGAAATTTTCAAGTTTTTCAAGTGGACAGCCACTTGTCTGGAATGCTTGAGTAGGGGGTTGGACTAGGAGACTTCCAAGGTCCCTTCCAATGCTATTTTTCTATGTTCTATGTTTTAGAAGTCTTTGGGATGCCCCATTGCATCCAGCCATTCACAGGATCCCACCCCCTCCCCCAAGACCCGGTGAAGGGCCAAATCTTGACGGAGATTCCAGAAAGCCAAAAGAGAGGGGGTCCTGCTTGGGCAGAGGGTGAGGCGGCCACAGAAAAGGCACGCTTCCAGGGCCCCACTATATGGTGGCATTTCACCTGGAGTGGGCCTCCTCCGTCAGCTCTGGTGGGATGGGCAGATGTGATCTGAGGGAGGGAAAACTCCTGCCCATATCTTCTGGAGGAGGCTGCAAGGCCCCTGATGGACAGGAAGCAGGCCTGAACCATCCCCTGTTATTCTGCAGGCATTTATGAAGATGGTAGGTTGCTGTTGCTTTCAGGGCGGGGGTGGGGGTGGGGTGGAGGAGCAAAGAAGCTGGGAAGAAGTATCTCCTACCTCAGTTTTTTTCCTTGTGCCATTACTCTGCTGAACACTTACTCATTCTCCAAGTATACCCATGTAGTATGGCTGTATTATTATTATTATTATTATTATTATTATTATTATTATTATTATTATCATCATCATCATCATTATTATTATTCTCTTTTATTCATTAAAAATGAAACTCAGTCAACTGGACATTTAAAAATGGGTCACAAATACCATTGACTGGTGCTAATGGTTGATACGGGTTGCTGCCAGCGTCTTAGGGATCAACCAAGTACCTTCTTAAAATGTATGATGTTCCAAGTAGCACAGTTCCACTGGTGTTATTGCAGGAAGCTGCAATTTCTTGAAGTGTTTTGTGAAATTCTTGGACATGATACCAAGTGCCCCGATGACAATGGGTATCACTATGACATGTTTCATCCATAGCCGTGTAGTTTCGATGGCTAGGTCGTGAAATTTCATTTATTTTATTTATTTATTTTATTTTATTTGTATACCGCCCTACTCCCGAAGGACTCAGGGCGGTGAACTGGCACAGGATAAAACACATAGAATACAAAAATTTAAGAGCAGAAGTAAAATGGAATTAAATCAATTTAGCCCAAGATAAATTTAAAATCCCAGGTTAAGAACAAATTAAAATTTACATTAAAAAGAGAATGGGAGAGGTTAGGCCAGACCAGCCTGGTGAAATAAAAAGGTCTTGAGAGTGCGGCGGAAGGTGCGTAGATCCGGGATCCTCCGTATCTCGTTCCAGAGCTCGTTCCAGATAGTAGGTGCCCCCACAGAGAAGGCTGTCGACATTGTTTGGCCGACGGCACCCAGAGGAGTCCCTCTCTGTGAGAGCGTACCGGCCGGTGGGAGGCCGTTTGCGGCAGCAGGCGGTCCCGTAAATAACCAGGCCCTAAGCCATGGAGCGCTTTAAAGGTGGTAACCAAAACCACCTTTCATGATTTTTTCCAGTTCTTTTTCTTCGACTCTGGCGTCTCCTGGTACCGTGATGTCAATAAATTGTATGTTTCGGTTTTCAACAACTCTGATATCTGGCGTGTTGTGTTCCAAGTGACGATCTATCTGTATTCGAAAGTCCCACAAGATCTTCATCTTCTCATTTTCTATAACTTTCCACTTTATGTTCCCATGACTTTTTGGATACAGGTAAGTCGTATTTTTTACATAATGATCAGTGGATTAATTTAGCAACTCGGTCGTGTTTAGCTTTGTAATCAGTTTGTGCGATTTTGTTACAATCACATATTAAATGTGAAACAGTTTTGACTTTGTTGTCAAAAAGTTGGCAGTTTGGATTGTTGGTAGATTTTTGTATCTTCGCTTTCATGGCATTAGTTTATAGTGCTTGTTCTTGAGCAGCCAGTATTAAATCTTCCGTTTCTTTCTTTCTTTTTTTCTTTTCTTAAGCCATGCCCATGTAAAGTTGTCATCACATTTTCTTTCAATGTTTTTCAAGTGCTGTCCATGCAAAGCTTTGGTTTTCCATCTATTTAATCTGTCATATTGTTGTTGTTGTTGTTGTTGTTGTTGTTATTATTATTATTATCTGTTTTATTTATTAAACATGAAACTCGGTCAACTGATCATTTAAAAATGTGTCACAAATACCATTGACTGGTGCTAATGGTTGATACAGGTTGCTGCCAGCATCCTAGGTATCTTCTTAAAATATATGATGTTCCGAGTAGTGCAGTTTTTATCCTTCTCACCGTAACCCCTCTTATTGGTATTACTATTATTGTGTTTATTATTATTTTTATTACTTTGTTGCTTTGCATGTACACTGAGCGCTCTCCTTTCCTTGGCAGACTCCCCTGATTTTCTGCCTGGCGCCCATGGATTCCTCCCGGGATTCAGTGCTGACATTCACCTCGACCCAGACCAGGATGGCAAAACTTTTATTTATTTATTTTTTTAAACAAATTTTATTGGTTTTTTTCTTTTCTCCTCTCCCACCTTCACCCACATCTTTCTTTTTTTTTTTTTGAACAGAGTGTTGGTCGTTTCTTATCTTATACAATTAGTCAAGTTCAAATATATTTTACTGGCAAAGCTTTTAGAAGGAAGGAAACCCATTGTATCCCCCGCTCCACCTCCCCTTCCAGAAACTGCCCCCTGCATCTCTCTGTGGAGAGTCTCAGTGATTCTGAGATGGCTCTCCCAAAGGTCTTCCTACAGGTTGTTCCTGAAGAAGCTTCTTGGATGAGAACTTTTTCAAGGAAAAAAATACCAAGGAAATCCAGGTGCCTTTTGGAAAAGCCTCTTTGGGACGGCTTCCTCCATAACTGATGACTTGAGTAGAAGGAAATGTTGCATTGCTACGGGGATGTGATTTGTTGGCCAACTGCAACTGTTGTATTCCACAGTCATTGTGGAGAGCTGCTCCTTCCTCAAACCTCATCCAAGGCTAACCCTTTTCAGGTTTCTCCCTGAAACCTGCCCCCGTAAAGACCTGAAACCAGCCCCCGTAAAGACACCTTAAGAAGATGTACTTACTTGAACATGCTTCTTTGAGCGTCATGGTTTTGGATACCTTGCTAACGGGGTTTTCTACCTTGCAGCTGACCTCCTGGTCAAAGATTTGTCTGCTGGTGTAATTGATGGTAAGCAAATTCTCATGGGTGACCCGAGAGATGATCCCCTCTGCCACATCCCATTGCACATCCAGCTTGTCATTCCATCGCTCCACAGAGCAGTTCAACTGCAATGATTTTGTCTGACCCCTATTGATTGTGCAGTTGATGGACAGGTCCTCACTCTGCAAATGTTCTGAGCAGGAGATAGAAAGGACAGGAGGGGTGAAGGACAGGAAGTGGAAGGATGGAGAGATGGAAGAAAGATTTAAAATGAAGGAAAATCCTCCCACCAAGAGTGACTTAAGGGAGATTGTTCTTAGGGCCTTTGAGGCCTCGAAACCCAGACGAAGGAAGCCATAGCAGCTTTTTCCTCTGCCTTAACCCCACCCTACTGTGCTTCTTGTAGACTGTGGACAAGTCAGCCTGGTCAATCTAAACAAAACAACAGAATAACAGAGCTGGAAGGGATCTTAGAGGTCTTCTAGTCCAACCCACTGCTCAAGTAGAAGACCCTATACCATTCTGGATAAATGGCTGTCCTTAAAAGCCTCCAGTGATGGGGCACCCAGAACATCTGGAGGGAAGCTCTTCCACTGTGTTAGGTCCCCATGGGTCCCCACTGGGATGCTGCCATTCTGGCAGGGAAGGTGGCGGGTGGGGGTGGGGGAGAACCAGGACACCATGTATCATTTGCTCTGCCCTTTTGTCTTTCTCTGCTCTGTTCCTTTGATGTACCTGCTTGGGAATGGGGGGGGGGAGGGAGGAGCCCGGGGCCCTCTGTTTTGTCTCCACTCCACCTTCTCAGCTCAAAGGTCTCACAACTTACACCTTGGGTTTGGCCAGCACCACACCGGACAGTTGGGAGGGGTTGCAAAGTCCAATGTTTATGCATGGGAAATTCAGATTCTGCCCAGCTTCTCTGCTCTCACCATCTCTCAATAAAAGTTCCTTTTGAAAGGCTCCCGGCTTCAAGACTTCTGCTTTCTTGAAGGGATAGTTGAGGCAAGACCTTACCTACTGATTCTCATTCTTAGGAAATTTCTCCTTGATGAATTTCCATCCATTGTTTCTTATCCTGCCCTTAGGTGCTTTGGGCCCTAAATCCAAATAGGTGGATCCCTCTTTTTTGTGGCATCCCCTTAGATGTTGGAAGACTGTCATGTCACCCCCCCCCAGTCATTCTTTTCACTAGACTAGACATGCCCAATTCCTGCAATCATTTTTCAGCCTCCAGACCCCTGATCCTCTTGGTTTCTCTTCTCTGCACTCGTGTGTCTGCAACACTTACTGTAAACTTTCAGGTCAAAGTGCTCGTTGATTTTTTCTGAAGTTGTTAAAGCGATGTTTGCCGTATATCTGTTCATGTCCTCTTGGTTTAGATGGCTGAGATGCAGATTCCGGCAGTCCTTGGTGGAGCTGACCCGCTCCTTAAATGCCTGGAGGGGGATGAGAAGTTTGCAGGGCTTCTTGGGGGCCACCAGGGCAAGGGTACTGAATTTGCTATTTTTCTCAATCCTGAACCAGGAAATGGTTGCAAATGGTTTTGATTCATTGATCTGGAAAGTGATGGAATTCCCCAGAACGCCATTCAGTTGCACGGGTGAGGTTTCTGTGAGAGCCAAGAGGAGACAAAAGGCTTTAGAAGCAAAAAGCAACTTGGTTTATGGGTTTTTTTATTGGACACTTCAAAAAAAATGCACAAACAAATACAAAGGTCAACATGAAAAAAAGAATAAAAGCAATAGCACTTAGATTTATATACTGCTTCACAGTGCTCTAAGTCAGGGGTGGGCAACTGTGGTGCTTTTACAACCTGTGGACTTCAACTCCCAGAACTGAGCGCCACAATTGCCTACCCCTGCTCTAAGTGGTTTATAGAGTCAGCCTCTTGCCCCCAACAATCTGGGTCCTCATTTTATCGGAATGGGACTGTTCGTCTCGTACATTTGGCCACCCCTCATTCTCCTCCGGCGTTCCTCCCTTGGGCGATTCTCCGCTGACTATATTCCTTGGCTGACGTGTCCCCACCGATCCACCCTGGCCAGTGGCCATGGCCACTCTCTCCCGGGCGCTTCTCCACAGCCCATACACAGAAGGAGGTTTCGTCCTGGGGTTTTCGACACCTGGGACAGTTAGGGCCCAACAAATCAGCTAGAGGGGGAAGGAAGGAAGGAAGGAAGGAAGGAAGGAAGGAAGGAAGGAAGGAAGGAAGGAAGGAAGGAAGGAAGGAAGGAAGGAAGGAAGAGCCTTGGTGAAATGGAGGGAGAAGGCAGGAAAAGGGGGGGAACTTCCACCTCTGGCCTTTTTTTGGGGAGAAGGAAGAACCCTTTTCAGGCCAGATACCCAAATTGATAATTAATGACAACGAATAATTTATGGCATTGATTCCCACCCCCCCAAAAAGGGGAGAGATGTTGGCAAACATCCCATTCAAGATTTAGAAAGGAAGAAAAGGAAATTGTAAAAGCGCTCCGGTCCCAGCCCTGCCTGTTCGCCCAGTTCAAAGGGAAGCACTCCTGGTTTTTTTTGGTTTTTTTTTTAATTTTTAGCAAGGGGAAGACTTAGTTGCAATTAATTTCTTGACCAAAAGCAACAGATAGAAGTGCTTCGGTTTATTTGTTTGTTCTTTTCCTCCCGAGACATTTGTGCAGTTTTCAGGAGGGGTTGGGGATGGTGTGTGTGTGTTACAACTTGGCACACCAACCATCATCTAGCCCACTAAAAGATTTGTAAGAATCGGTGGGAATTCTTACACGCTAAGAAAACCCATTAAAGCATTTATTTATTTATTTATTTATTTATTTATTTATTTATTTATTTATTTATTTATTTATTTATTTATCAAATTTCATAAACTTTCACTGCCCAGACATGGGTGGATTAATTAACTGGTGCTTTAGTTGATTCTTCAGCAGACAAAACTGAGAATCTGTGGATGCAAGTTAAGATTTAATTTTAACCCTGTTGCTTCCCTCTGTATAGGAATGGGAGGAGAAATGAGGATAAAGCAGAGGTGAAATGCTCCCGGTTCGGACTGGATCGCCCGATCCAGTAGTGATTGAGGCAGAGAGGCGGAGAACCGGTAGCAAAAATCACTGCCCACCCCGTGACCAGCTGAGCCGTGCAATCATCAGAGGCTTTTTATTTTTATTTTTAAAAGCATTTTTTCTACAGCCTCTTCAGCAGAGTAAAAAAGTAAAAAAAAAAAAAGCCTCTGATGATCCCGCGGCTCAGCTGGGATCGTTAGAGGCTTTTAAAAGCATTTTTCTACAACCTCGTGGGCCGAAGAGGTTGTAGAAAAAAATGCTTTTAAAAGCCTCTGACGATCCCAGCTGAGTTGCCTAATCAGCAGAGGCTTTTTTTCTTTTAAATGCCTCTGACAATCCAAGCTGAGTTGCCTGATCTGAGTTGCTTTTAAAAGAAAAAAAGCCTCTGCCAATCAGGCAACTCAGCTGGGATCGTCAGAGGCTTTTAAAAGCATTTTTTACAACCTCTTCAGAAGTTGTAGAAAAAATGTTTTTTAAAAGTTAAAAAAAAAGTTGGCCACGCCCACCCAGTCACATTACCCCCCCCCAAGCCACACCCACAGAACCAGTAGTAACAATGTTTACATTTCACCACTGGGATAAAGATATGGGTATGTATGTATGTATGTATGTATGTTATGCTGCTGTAAAAGTATTTTCCTTTTAAGCATTTAATTGTTAAGCATTTATAACATATATGCCTCTGAAAAAACATATACCTCCAATCAATTGCATCCTTCCTGCATTAAGATCTAAATCCTTCATAAATCCTTTTCCTTCCACCCTATTTCCTCCAGGAATTGGCAGGTAACTATCTCAAACTACCAGAGCAATCCACACACCTTTTGTGCTGTTAATAGGGGACCAATTAGGTGGCCAATTAGGAAGACAAAAGGAGGGAAAATATAACAAAAAATAAACACTGCCAAGAAAGGACTCTGTCTGTTGCAGGAAGATGTAAAATCTAAATTAGGGTATATGACTGAGTTTTACAATGTCGTTAGATTATACGACTAGAGTAATTAGAATACTAAGAAGTAAGACTTTAGTCAGGTATAAGAAAGGACGCAGAATCATCTCATGCTTTGTAGAACTTGCACAAGGTGGGATTGGCCAGTCTGGGGCTGGAGGTCTGAATCTGCTCAGGAGCACATACACACGCACACACACGCACACACATATGCTTGAATCTTGAATCTCTATATCTAGAGGGCACTCTGAGGCATTTGCTATCTCTCATATATTTATTATCTAGAAATATGATAATTACTTTTTTCTATCCTCTCATTCTAGACAGTTATAAATATTTTGAACAACAGAGGATCTAACCACTTGACACTTTCCCTCAACACAACATACAGTCATCCTTTGTGTCTATCAGATCTTTGATAGCTGCCTTATCTGAAAGGGATTTTTCCTAAACATGAATCTCTCCAAGTTCTCTTTAGGAAGCGCTTCTATCTGTTGCTTTTGGTCAAGAAATTAATTGCAAAAAATAAAAAATAAAAAACCCCAGGAGTGCTTCCCTTTGAACTGGGCGAACGGGCAGGGGTGGGAATGGAGAGCTTTTACAATTTCCTTTTCTTCCTTTCTAAATCTTGAATGGGATGTTTGCCAACATCTCCCCCCTTTTTTGGAGGGGGGGAATCAATGCCATAAATTATTCGTTGTCATTAATTATCGATTTGGATATCTGGCCTGAAAAGGGTTCTTCCTTCTCTCTCTCTCAAAAAAAAGCCAGAGGTGGAAGTTCCCCCCCTTTTCCTGCCTTCTCCCTCCCATTTCACCAAGGCTCTTCCTTCCTTCCTTCCTTCCTTCCCCCTCTAGCTGATTGGTTGGGCCCTAACTGTCCCAGGTGTCGAAAACCCCAGGACGAAACCTCCTTCTGTGTATGGGATGCGGAGAAGCGCCCGGGAGGGAGTGGCCGTGGCCGATGTGCCGGGGCGAAAGCCTGGGGTGGGGGGCAGCCGAGGAGAAAAGTTTGTGGCTAATAACACAGAGGCGAAAACCTTGAGGAGAAACAGGCAAGGCAAAGGGTTCGAGCTGAAAAGTCCTAGACCCCATTTTACCTACCTCAGAAGGATGGAAGGCTGAGCCAACCTTGAGTCTAGTGAGATTTGAACTGCTGAACTGCAGCCAGCAGAAATAGCCTGCAGTTGGGCTGAGAGAGAGTGGCTGGCCCAAAGCCACCCAGCCCCTTTCATATGTAAGGCAGGACTTGAACTCACCATCTCCTGGTTTCTAATCTGGTTCCTTCACCACTAGACTAAACTGACTCTTGTAAAATTAAAATGTAGGTTCTATGCACATATAACCCCAAATTTTGGGTGCGGTACCAGTTAGGTACTATGTCAAAGAATATTATAGTTTAAGAAGTGTCCAGTTGACTTTTAAGGCAGGACATTCTTGGGAACATAGGAGCATTTTCCAACAATTCATTCATAGAAGGGATTAAGTACTGTTTTAATAAAAGGCAATATAGTATCCTTCCAACAATTAGCACGTATAAAGATAATTCTGCATACTCTGGGGAGATAAACGGTTTGGTAAAACTGCTTATCCTAGGTTGACATTGGAATCCAACTTTTCAGACTTGTTTCATTCAAGTCGGAACTATTTTCCACAATTGTTGAGTTGTACCGCATTGCCCCCAAGTATGGAATCCTGCTTGCTCCAGTTCTGAGCCTTGACTGGGAGGGAACGTAGAAGGGCCAAACTCCCCCCCAACCGAAACCATCGCAGAAGTTACCGGCTTGGAAGTAAAAAAGTAGGAGTGTCACCCAGAAAACATTCTGGGGTTGCATGCCAGGAATTTTCCTGCCTGGATTCAAGCAAGGCAAAGACGTGGTCCCTGCCACTGGTGGCTCCCACTGCCCCCTCTTGGCTGAGACCTCACAATCAGGTGACTCAGTCTGCATCGTATGCAAATTACTTACCTGGAGGGTGAAAAGGTTAAGCTTCCCTGCCCCAAATTTGCTCCTGGGAGCTTTAGCTTCTTTCGAAAGTTTGTGCCAACCCTGAAGTGAACCTGGCTGAGGCCATCTTGGAGGCTTCATGGTTGCTACCAGGCAGAAGAGGGGACGGGGGTGGGGGTGGGGGGGAATAGACAAAAGAGACAGCAAACCAAGCTGGGAACCAAGGACATTCCAGCACTTGGTTGGGGAGAGGAGGAATGGAGTAACCTCTATTGGACAATGTGACTGATGACCTGGGGGGAAAGGGGGGAACTTTCACTTTTTAATTAGGTGAAAACCGCGGGAACTTTCAGAGTCGGTTTTCACCAGCTGTGCTGATATGATGTATCCAATAAAGCTGTTCTTTGAGGAATCTACCTGCCTTGGAGTTCTGCTTTCAGGGCTGCATTACTCGGAACGCTGACAGTTTGAATGTATTTTCAAGGCGGACCCTCAGCCCTTGCTTGTTCAGGAAGGGCTGGCCGGCACTGCCTCCCTCTGGCAATTTCTTTCTTCATCTGGTACAAAACTTCCCAGATGGAATATCTGGATTGGAACGGTTGTCACAAAGGTGCTTTTTCAAAAGGCAACTGGACTTCCTTTATTTTTTCTTGAAGATGTTTCACTTCTCATCCAAGAAACTTCTTCAGTTCTTCTTCTTTTTTTTTTTTTTTTGGCAAAAAGTTTTTTTTATTTTTTTCCAAACATACAAATTACATCCTTTCGGAACAGAGCTTTGATCCGGTCATCACTTTGTTCAATTTTTAACAAAATCTTTAACAAAATTTTATCTATACTATTTTGCCATAGTACTTATTTCTAAATCTTATATCACATATTCAACTAATACCATCTTAAAAAAATTAATACATATTTACTTAATCATAACAATTACCCTTCTATTAATTCTTAATTCTTAGTTCAATTAATAATTCATAATACAACAATTCTTACTCTAAATCCTCACTATTAACAATACAATTCAAATATATTTATATATCATTATGCTCATTAAATCTTTATTTCATTATTACTTTGTCAAATTTAAATCTTATCTTTTTAATTTTAGAAATATAGCAATTTAACATTTAAACATAGTTCTTAGTTCAAATAATGCTTTTTAACACAATTTCCCAATTATCCTATATTTATCAAACCATACCATTTATATAACACCAATTAAGTAATTTTTGTTTATAAATCATAATCATATATTGTTTCAGTTTTCTTTTCTTTTTCACTTAGGTGATTAATGCTCAAATTATCACAATTGTTATACTTAAACAATATCTCAATTATTATAGCAATCAATTTTCTAATTTAACCTTTTCTTTTATCCTTCCATATCCCAATATACAAAATACATCTTTATTCCACTGTTAATCCCAGCGTAATCATCTTTATTTTTCTCACTATTAATCTCAGTGTAATCATCTTTATTCACTGTTAATCCCAATGTAATCATCTTTATTCCACTGTTAATCCCAGTGTAATCATCTTTATTTTTCTCACTGTTTATTTATTTATTTTAAATTTATATACCGCCCTTCTCCCTGAGGACTCAGGGCGGTGTACAGCCAGAATTAAAAAACATAAAATACAAATATTAAAAAACAATTAATATATATATAAATTTGGCCCAAAATTAAAATACAAACCAATTAAAACATTTAAAATTTCTTCTTAAGACAGCCCGGCTTGCTGGAAAAAGTGGGTTTTAAGGGCACGGCGGAAGGCACTAAGGTCTTGGATTCTCCTTATCTCTGGGGGCAACTGATTCCAGAGGGTAGGTGCCCCCACAGAGAAGGCCCTCCCCCTGGGGGTCACCAACCTACATTGATTGGCTGATGGCACCCTGAAGAGGCCCTCTCTGTGGGAGTGCACGGGACGATGGGAGGTCATCGGTAGCAGCAGGCGGTCTCGAAGATAGCTAGGCCTGTTAATTCCAGTGTAATCATTTTAGTGATTACACCCTATGACTATCATTAAGTGTTGTACCTTATGATTGAATGTATCTTTTCTTTTATGTACACTGAGAGAGTATGCACCAAAGACAAATTCCTTGTGTGTCCAATCACACTTGGAGGATAGAGCCGAGGACTTTGTACAATATCTGTATGACAAAATCGCTCAGATTCGGGAAAATTTGGACTCTGACTGGGTAGATTCGGGAGGGAGGATGGAGGCAAGTCTTGAGAATATTACCTGGGAAGAGTTTGATTCTGTGACTCCGGAAAACGTGGACAAGATACTGGGCAGACTAAGCGCAGCCACATGTTTATTGGACCCGTGTCCCTCCTGGCTGGTGCTGGCCTCTCGGGAGGTTACATGAGGTTGGCTCCAGGGGATTATAAATGCTTCCTTGAGAGAGGGTGTCTTCCCTGCCGCCTTGAAGGAGGCGGTGGTGAGGCCTCTCCTCAAGAAGCCTTCTCTGGACCCAGCAGTGTTGGCTAATTACCGTCCAGTCTCCAACCTTCGTTTCGTTGCGAAGGTTGTTGAGAGTGTGGTAGCGCGACAGCTTTCTCAGTACTTGGATGAATCGGCTTATCTAGATCCGTTCCAGTCGGGCTTCAGGCCTGGATACAGCACGGAAACGGCATTGGTCGCATTGGTAGATGATCTCTGGAGGGCCCGGGACAGGGGTTGCTCCTCTATCCTGGTCCTATTAGACCTCTCAGCAGCTTTTGATACCATCGACCATGATATCATGCTGCACCGGTTGGAAGAGTTAGGGGTGGGGGGCACCGTGTTACGGTGGTTCTCCTCCTTTCTCTCTGATCGGTCGCAGTCTGTGTTGACAGGGGGGCAGAGGTCGACCCTGAGGCCCCTCATATGTGGGGTGCCACAGGGGTCGGTTCTCTCACCCCTTCTGTTCAACATTTATGTGAAGCCGCTGGGTGAGATCATCCGTGGTTTTGGGGTGAAGTATCATCAGTATGCTGATGATACTCAGCTGTACATCTCCACCCCGGACCACCCCAACGATGCCCTTAAAGTGATGTCCCAGTGCCTGGAGGCTGTACGGATCTGGATGGGGAGGAACAGACTCAGGCTCAACCCATCCAAGACCGAGTGGCTGTGGTTTCCGACGTCCCGATATAGTCAATTGGTGCCATCACTGACTATTGGGGATGAGTCATTGCCCCCCACGGAGAGGGTTCGCAACTTAGGCGTCCTCTTGGACTCACGGCTGTCTTTAGAAGAACACTTGACGACTGTGGCCGGGAGGTCTTTTTATCAGGTTCGCCTGATTCGCCAGTTGCGTCCCTTTCTGGATTGGGACTCATTAAAAACGGTCACTCATGCCCTCGTCACTTCACGCCTGGACTACTGTAATGCTCTCTACATGGGGCTCCCCTTGAGGAGCACCCGGAGGCTCCAGCTGGTCCAGAATGCGGCCGCGCGGGTAGTTCTGGGAGCAGCATGGCGCTCCCATGTGGCTCCCCTCCTGCGCGAGCTGCACTGGCTCCCTGTGGTCTTCCGGGTGCGCTTCAAGGTCTTAGTTACCACCTTTAGAGCGCTCCATGGCTTAGGACCGGGGTACTTACGAGACCGCCTTCTGCCACCAATAGCCTCTCACTGCCCAGTACGCTCCCATAGAGAGGGGCTTCTCAGGGTGCCGTCAGCCAAACAATGTCGACTGGCGGCCCCCAGGGGGAGAGCCTTTTCTGTGAGGGCACTCACAATCTGGAACGAGCTCCCCCCAGAGATACAGAGGATCCCGGATCTGCGCACTTTCCGCCGTGCCCTCAAAACATTCCTGTTTCAGCAGGCCGGCCTGGCCTAACTTTCCCTTTATATTGCTTTTTGATTTTATTTTAAACTGGGATGTCTTGAATTATCTAGGACCAGAATGTTTAGTATATTTTAATTGGTTTTTTATTATTAACGTTTGTATTACATGTATTTTTATCGTTCGCTGTTCACCGCCCTGAGTCCCTTAGGAGTAGGGCGGTATATAAATTTAATAAATAAATAAATAAATAAATAAATAAATAAATAAATAAATAAATAAATAAATAAAGACTTCTATTCTATCTATCTATTCTATTCTTAGATTAGGGAAGGGAAAATACATCTCACCCATTTCTGTCAGAAATAACAGCCCCACAACAACCCTCCTCCTCTCTCCTCCTCTCACCTGTGACACTCATTATGAAGGGAGAGGCCCACCATGGGAGAGGAAGGCAGGAACCCCTGACCCTCTGCCCTCCACCAAACCAAACTTTTTATACCAAACCATGGATTGAAGAGCCATGGTGGCGCAGTGGTTAGAATGCAGTACTGCAGGCTACCTCTGCTGACTGCCGGCTGCCAGCACTTTGGCAGTTTGAATCTCAGCAGGCTCAAGGTTGACTCAGCCTTCTGTCCTTCCGAGGTTGGTAAAATGAGGACCCAGATAGTTGGGGGCAAATAGAGAGGGCTGGAAAGCACTATGAAGTGATATATAAGTCTAAGGGCTATTGCTATTGAGAACAGGATGATGAGTCTCCATGGTCATCCTCTCAAGGACCCCTTGACTCTTCCTCAAAGAGTTTGTGGGCCCCAAGGTTGGGACCGGAAGTTGGCATCGTAGTGAGACGAGCGGGGTTTTTGGTGCTCCAGAAACTCCATCGAAAACTCCGCTACTGGACGGTCCAAATTGGACCCCACAGTCTCGTTTTGACTGTGGCAGTGGAGGGCATGTCCTGAGGATCCCAGGGACATCGCTAAGTCCCTGGTTGATCCAGGAAAGCCCTTTTTCCAGTAGCGGAGCAGCAGCCATAGGCTGTGGAGGCTGTGACAACTTCAGGAAGACAGAACGGAATGAAGTGAACAGATCGGTGAGAGACTTTCACTTTTTAAATAATACTAAGAGCACCCTAATTGAGGAATGAGATAGTGATGGTGAATGAATAAAGACAAGCGGCGAACCTA